ATTCGATGACTCTTTCTTATACGTGGTGGGGCCACAAAGGACACAAGCCATTATACGATACACGACTTGTGATGGCCATTTTTGGTACTATTTCTTAAATTTTCCTTTGCATGCACATATAAAGTACTGAGTAATACATGTTGCATTACTTTTCAGATGCTGTATGTAAAAATCCGTACTTCACGAAACCGTCTCGACAAGAGTTTCAAAGAAACGTGATAGAGGCTCTGCGAGCTGCGAAGGAGAGAGTAAGGAGTAAAAAACGTGGTTCACGTAGGCCAGCCGCACAAGAGAATATTGCACGTAATTTTTGGAAGGACAGGGCAGACGCAGACGATGCAGACTTAACGAACGAGAATTAGGTAACAAACATTTCTAAAAGAAGTGCATGTATTTAAAGGTAAAATGTACACTTTTACAACTACACTTTTAATCGCTTAAGCTTTATATTTGTTAAATGCTCGGAAAAGTATCCATTTTCTCTTCAAAATCAATAGACAGCCGTAAAATTAATGTGGCATGCAATTTTCTTAACATTTCAGTTTGGTACAGATTTTGAGAAGAGGTGGAATACCTGGATGGTAGAAGTAGAAGATAAACTAGAGGCTGTAAAGACCGGATTGGTTGGCAAATAATTTGGACGAATGCACATACATCGCACATTACATCTTACTACAGAAGCACAATTATATAAAGTAAGATAATTTAATTCTTTTTTAAAAAATATAAACAGAATAAATTGAGTATTATCATATGAAAGTTTCTGTGTAATATTTTAGGTGTTTAAGAAGCATGGCTTAATTTAAGTAAGTTCAATAGAAGAAAAACTTGATCCTAATCAACATGAAGCACTTTCAACAAGTAAGATCTATTTTGTAAGTAAAACATGCTGTCATTAATTATCAATATGCACAACAGTTATCGATATAAAATAATTTCAGGAGGTTGGAGGTAAAAAAAAGCTGAAACAATTGTAGTTGTATAAAAAATAGAAAAGTGATTGCACGAAAGGATAATAAGACCTGCATTAGTAGGTGTTGGTAAAAGATAATTTTTTCCTTTTCACGAAATTTCCCTGAACTTTGCGTTACATCCAACGCCCCATACCAGCATCCTTCTGTATTACCACTACATCTGCTTCTCTTTCCCCATGATTTATTCTTCTCCCCAGTGCTCCATCCTATCAAATCTGTTGTTTAAAGCCTTTTGTTTATAGCCTTTTGTTTATCTTTTACTTGTACCATCCAGGTATTCCACCTGTTCTCAAAATACTTTCTTTATGCTGCTATTTCCTCTTGTAATTTCTTTATTTCCTTGTTTTATTTGCTCACCTATCTCCCTTCTAATCAGTTCCCCTACCTCCTTTTTCCATTTCTCCACTATATCTGCCCACTAATCTCCATTTTCCTCATGTACCGATCTTTGTCCTTTTTGCCTGTCATTACTTCCATCTCTTAAAACACCATCCTTTTTCCATTTCCTTTCTCCTCTGTCTCTATTCTCCTTTGTCCTTCTATCTTCCCCTTCCCCACTCAAAACATAAATTGTCTTTTACATTTCTTTAAAGTAGACACACTTTCATTTTATGAAATATATAAGGGTTAGCAAATTACACTTGCGTGCACTTTCATTTCTTGTGTTATCATAATAAGGAAATATTTGTCACAAAGTTAATGTTCCAAATGTATAAATGAGTATAATTTTTTTAATAAATCATGGCATAAAAGAAACAAATGTAATATATCTATATAACGTAGTTATTGAAGTCTTCATGGAATTGTAGATGAAGCTTCTTCCTTAGAATATATACCAGCACCTGGTTCTCCATATATAATTTTATGAAGAAAACAACAACAAAAGATGAAAGTGACAGTTAAAAAGAGCTTGTGGATGCTGTTATGGCAGGTATCTATGCTCAAGTGAAACAAAATAAATATGACTGAATGGGATAAGGAAGACAAATCTAAGGGATTTCGGGCAGATGTTGACGTACAACACGACGAAAATTATTACAAATTTGTAGGTTTATTTAATAATATATAGCTAAATTGAAGGTTATGTTTTGTACATATACAAATTATAGTAAGGAAGGATATAGAGACATAATTATTTAAATTATTTTTCATTTTGTAGATATATAGAGGGAAATTGTACTGCTGCTTTGCAACAAGAGAAATTCGATTAAGAAATCGAATACGATGAAGATGGTCATCCTATTGCACCACCAGAGAAGACTAAAATTGATCCATTAACTCCGATTGATAATAACGAAATGGGTTACGAGTAATTTGCGAAGAATTTTTGCAATGTGCATGAAGAAATTGGAAGTTTAAACAAACAACAGATTGATGATCTGAGGAAAACTCTCGTAATAAAGGTTTCGAGAAACATTACATATGTTGTATTCAAGTTGGAATACAACTTGATAAAGTTATATAATATATAACGTTAAGTTATATAAAAATTATAACATAAGTGTTCGAGAGCGAGATTAATTATCTAGCATTAGGCGATCGAACGTTCTAGAACGTTCGCTCGCCCGCCAGCCTCGCGACGGGCTCGCGCTAGCCGCAGCGCGAGTCCACCTTTTTTTCTGCACTGATTTTGCTGGCTGTCCGCGGTTGCCATGCCGACCATACGCGCAAACAAACAAACATTCGCGCTTCTCTACTCGCATGCTAGATCGCCGCTGTTACCATGCAGGCTTTATTTGGAAATGATCTCGAAGATTCGGCAACCGCGACCAACCAGCGAGCGACTTGTCGCCAAGTGCTTTTTCTTTAAAAGCTGCCCTCGCCGACGATGAGGGCAGTCCGTGCTTCGCATCTATCACAAGAGGAGCACGTCTCGGACAGCTGGGAAACAGCTAATCTCAAGCGCCGGCAATATCGGAGAGCTCGTCGCGTGTTCAATCGGTCCGCCGACTATTGTATCTTTAGCGGGACTGCAAGCTCCGTTGCACTCGCGCTACCTTCGACGCGGAGGAGCCTCGCCGCGACTCCTCTCGAGCGCCGAGAGTCGATCTCGCTCTCTCGGGCCAGCTCCGATCTCTGGAAAGCAAGTCGGCGAAATTCGTTAGCCGCTTGCCGCTCGCGCCGTTCGCGCGCTATCGTTACTCAATTAACTTTGTTTGTGCTCTGTCTTCTTGTGTGTTCATATTGTGCAACGACGTTGTGACTTCTACCCTTTCGAGAATCGGCTCGTTCGACGGCTCGCGGACGCGCGCCAGGGTCGCGGAAGATTTCCGTCGCTCGT